TCATCACAACCAACAGATCCACAGAAAGTCAGTTACTATTCGGACGAAAACGAGTCCCGATTAGCGCGAAAGACTAAAGACAACCCATTCTTCCCAATCGGTAATCATTGCCAGCAATTTGTCTGAAGCCGTCTTAAGCGGTGGATCCGTTAAAACCGATTCACGGATTGGTTATCGGATTCATTGAATTTGATTGGTTTGAATGATATATTAATGATGTGTTTGTATGGCATGTATAGCAATGACGGGTTTCACGGCAGCCGTACTGTACGGCGCGTATCGCTTCAAGTATCGGCCGCACGATATGCCCATTTCACTCTATCTGATCCAACTTCGTGTGGCCGCACAGGGAGTGGCCGTCGGTTCCCTCACCATCGGAATGATCTACATGTTAGGCAAACGAGCGTATAATCACTTTTATAACGTGCCGAGTGACCCTGGGCATTAATGTACACCTAGCTCTAGTTCTTAGTGTTAGCTTTAATTATTATATGTTATTTGTTTTAAAATAACGATAGAATTATATTAATAAAAGTAATTCAATTGTTAACTATTCATAACTTAATTTTAAAATATATTGTATTAATTGTCTATTTATGAACTCAAATATATGTTAATCCAATAAAACGGAGATTTATTTTTTAGTAGAAATTAATAAGAATATTGTGTTACTATTAAAGTACTAATATTAACTATTACTATTACTACGGTAATAACTACTACTATTACTATTAGATTGTGTGTAAGTGTATTGAAGTGTACCTATGCTCTCATATATGCATAATCTTTAGACTATACAGTATTAGAGTTGATCACAGGTTTAGTCTTAAGGATTAAATATTACCAGAAGAATGTGTGCATCAAATGAATTACACAATTGTATGTCAAGGAGAGGTACAGTAGAGCTCATATACAGTGCATTTCGAGGCATAAGTTTTCACGTGAATACAAACTGATTCACACATTACTACTAAACCATTCATTTAAGTACCGCATGAGTGCTGTATTGAATTGTGTAATCATTTCTAACTTGTTTATTATAATTGGTAGTATTGTTAGTGTTATAGTGGTATGTAATGAATGGGTTCACACATTTCAATGCCAACCAACAGTATTAGTGAATAGTTTTGTTCACTTTTGTGTGTCATTTATGGGACAGACTGTGAAACTCCTCTCGTTTTTCAAATGCCATTCAACGCAATCAAAGATTGGCTTCAAGTCATGTGACACTTACAGCGCAAACACTCACAACATTTACACACATATATTGTCCGCAAACTCTGTTACCGATCATTATTATGAAACAAAACGAGTGATTCATATCTGTATTCATAGGAAATTGGAGAATATAATGGCTTAACGACATTTCAATCATTAACACTTTGCTGACCAAGCTAACTTTGCGTGCACGTTAGTATTGTTGGCCATAAAAAGTACAGGTTAACCTCATTATACTATACATAATAATTTTGCTACAATTTTTAAAAGTCTCGCACTGTCACAACAATGATTAGTACCGTAATTAAAGGAGAATGTTCATGTGTTGCCTCATTTGCCACTATTGTATTATTATTTATACTCATATAGACTACAGTGTACATGTAGACGAACATGTGTATAACAAATGATTATTCCTAAATTTAAATATAGTAACATTAATATACGTATGATCGGGGTACTATTTATATATTAATATTAAAACATAACCTAATAATTAGAAAATAATTTAAAAAAAGGCTAACATTAATCATGAGTAATGTAAGATAAAGTACCAAGTTTAAATATAATCAAGTCTAACTATTCAAGACTGGCAAATAAGGATAATGGTCATACATTTGTGCTAAATATCTTTAAAATTCCAAAGATATCTAAATTAAACGAAATTGAATGAAATTGCAATAAATATTTATACTAATGAGTTATCTTAGTAATTATTTTATTAGAACTGGTCACATGGATTATGTCAATGGACTCATTATACAATATACTTTTAGTTCATATGAATAGAAGTTTATGAAACAGAAGTTCGTGATTTGTTGCATTCGATTTTCATATTTAATGTTAAATTATAAAATAATTAATAATTATTACATTAATCATTGAAGTAAATGGTATTTTTCACTGAATGCACTGAATAAATTAATTCATTCATATTAACAAATCCCAAGTGAAAGCTTAAGCCAATCTGAACATTCTTCTTTAGTTTCTAATCATTGTTTTGCTATTAATAATCAGCTCTAGTCTTGAGGTTTTACTGTAGTTTTTGGTTAAACTGACTGATTCTCGCGCTAAACAATACTGAATTAAGCCGTCAGCCAATCGGGTGATAGGATTAATTTGAATTAATTAAATTCTGGATTTTGATTGGCTTGTGTTTTAAACACAAGTTGTATTTATTGTGTTAACTCGCATACAAATATACGTTAGGCTTATTATATGGTTGAGTGTTGTCCCCAACCCCTCCCCACACAACTCCACACAACTCCACACAACTCACACCCATTAGTGCACGCATTGCAGTGCATGTGAGCCAACCCAACCCACTTCCGGTGCCCCTCAAGTGGACGTCATTGATGTGAGCGAGTGTTGGGTCGAGTGATGGGATGTTGTGTTTCAGTTGTCACAAACACAACACAACACAACCACTGACTGTATGTCTGACACAAAATGTCGACAAAACTGAATAAAGAGATCGAAAATGTAATGAAAACAATGTTTTGTTTATATAATCATTGGATAAACAAATTAACGCTTTATTTATTTTATTTTCACTTTATTTGTCTCTCATGTGGTGTTTGGCCTTCAGATCGACTCTGATTTGTCTGAGTTGTCGAAACTGGAACTGTTGTGTCAGAGGGAGACAGTGAAGACACAGTTGGCCACCGAAGTCGGTCGACTCACACTCCGGAGGAATCAATTGGTGAAACGTCTTCAGGACGTGTCCACCGATGACTCGACGGGCAAACCGTGCGGTTCGGCCAGCGATGAGGACAAGGAGGACGATCTCAGCGCTGACCTCTCGTCCGGTATCAGCAAATTGATGGTAAATACTGTTGATATTTGTTTGTGTGTTAAATACATGTGTTTTCGCTGTCTATCCAATAGGACGGCAACTCTGAACAGTCGGACGAAGACAAAGACAAGTCATTGTTGTCGACCACTCACTCACTCTCGCCGTCCAGTATTAAAGAAGAGGGTTATGGCAGCGAAGAGAAGTCAGAGCACACGCCGTCCTCCACCACGAGTCACAACACGTTCTCCCGGTTCTCGAGGGGCTCCGGGAGGCTATCGATGGTCGGCAACCAACTGGACGTGTGGGTCGACGCCGCTGACCGGCAGCTCAGCCGTAGTGTTAATCGTAAAGAGAAAAGTGCGGCCAAAGAAATGTATAAAAACTATAATTCATTGCCAAAGCATATGAGCTATGGTTCGGCGACCAAAGCGACCACTTCTGTCTCCTCCTCCATATCCAGTGAAGACATTATCAAACATAGGGATGATATGCGAGACAAACCATCTGTGATAGTGATTTTGGCCAAAGAGTCGGGACCGCTGGGCATTCATGTGGTGCCCGAAAGTGATGACATCGGTTGCGGTAATGGTCTCCTCATTCAGGGCATAGAGCCCGGCGGCCGCATCGACCGCGACGGACGCCTACACGTCGGCGACGCCATCATTGAGATCAACGGCCAGAGTATTGTCGACACAGACTTCGAAAGCGCTCAACAAATCTTCAGATCCGCTCTACAGACCGACGAAATAACGCTTCGTTTAATTAAATACAATCAAAATGTGAATCAAAATCTGAGCGCGTCTTCGCTGAAGAAGCCGTGTCCGCCACCAGTGCTGCCGAAGCCCGTGAACGTTATGAAACAACACGAACAGCTCAGACTCGTCGAGGGTATGGTTGAGGGCGAGGAGAGGGCTGTCCAGCCGACCAAAGTAGCCACCGTTACGTCAACTAATAAATTGACGCCAACCGCAGCCATCACTCATAAACCGGCCGTCAGTTCGGTCTTAGTTGTGGCCAATACTCGAAAAATTGGCAAAAAATATCACATTCAGCTCAAGAAGGGTCCCGAAGGCCTCGGGTTTAGTATTACGACAAGAGATAACCCGACCGGTGGTAATGTTCCCATTTATATCAAGAATATATTATCAAACGGCGCCGCCGTAGAGGACGGGCGGCTCAAACCAGGAGACCGTTTGCTCGAAGTTTGTGGCATTGAAATGACGGGTAAATCACAATCAGAAGCGGTCAATATATTACGAACACTACCCCTCGGGACGGGTGTAGACCTAATAGTGTCGCGTCAAGAAGTGGACGCGTCTCCGAGTCCAATGATGCCGAGACGACTGCCACCAGAGAAGTCCGGCGAGACGTCGGGCAATGAGCGCGAAGTATTGACTTTTGAAATACCGCTCAACGATACGGGTTCTGCAGGTTTGGGCGTTAGTATGAAAGGCAAGACCACTACAGCGACGGGTGTGCCGTCAGATTTGGGCATTTTTGTCAAATCGGTGATTCACGGCGGGGCCGCCTCTAAGGACGGACGCCTTAAGACCAACGACCAGTTGATTAACATTAATGGCATTCCATTGCTGGGTATGTCCAACAGTCAAGCCATGGAGACATTGAGAAGGGCTATGATTTTTAGCGAGGGTCCGGTCGCTAATCCCACCGCTATTACAGTGACTATCGCCCGAAAGTCGGCCACTTGTGAGGCCGACCTCAACAATAGCTGCCACGAGAGGAATGATTCCCAATTGAGTGCCACATCTAATAACTCGTCTAATGAAGAATCGTTTTGTGTAAATAATAATAATCTTAGATTAGACGAGACATACGATCACAGCTACCGCTCCACCGATAATACAGTTATTTATAGACCAAAAAGTGATGTACAAGTGATGAGTAATAAACTGATGCAAAGAGAGTCTCAGAGTCTGTCATCGCCTACAGAAGAATCGCCAAAAACGCCAAACAATAGTCATTCGTTGAATCAGACATTTTTAAAGCAGTTTTATTTGAGTGAAAATCACGACTCGAACCGAATATACGACAAATCACCGAATGTTATGAACAGAAGTGATGTAATCATCGAAAGGGATAGCGTTGAGAATGGAGTGCCTATCCATAGGACAGGTGTTGGCGGCGGCGGTAGCGGTGGTGACAGAAATGATTCGGTGTCTGAATCGGCACCGCGTGATAGTCAGCTCTCGTTGATCGAAGACAACGATGGTTTCCAACGCGACGGCTTCGGCCGCCAATCCATGTCCGAGAAAAGACACGCACAGCTCGACGCCAAGAGTACCGACACATATCGCAGGAGTAAGAAAGCCAAAGAAGAGAAGGAACGACAGCTCCGGGAACGACAACACTCTGATACACCTCAACAACAACCAAACCAATCGGTGAATGGTATGCATCAGACACCACAACAACAACAACCAGTGAATACCGATCACAAAGTAGTAGTTCCGCACGAATTAGGTTTGTGTCTCAATTGAATGATAAACATTTATTTGATTTAATTTTCCATAAAACTATACATCGGTTTAATTAATGAAACATTTCTTTATTTTGATGACTTATTTGTATCAAAATCGATGGTAATATATAACGAAAAGCAGTCTCTGATAGTCCTTCAATTGCTAACCAAAGATCTATTTCTTGTGATTATTTAACACTAACTCCTCGACAAAAAGAGTCTCATAATAATAGCTGTTCTAATACTGGAAGTATGTATTCATTTATCTATTTTGGTGACGGGATTATTGGTTATTCACATGAATTGATTTACAAAAAAACAAAATTGCTTTTCTCTATCATTTCCATTGCCTTTTGTATAACAAATTGTTTTCTAAATTGCAATAATGTTTGGCTTATAAATGGCTCTTCTCTTTCCATCCATCTATTAATCCACAGAAAGAAATGGTGTGTTTAATGGTTGTCGACA